GGTGTTGAAACAGCATTAAGATCTTTGAAGATCTATAGCGAGGTGAGAATTTCTCAGCAAGCGAAAATTTCTTTCCACTGGCAGAGATGACAGAGATCTTTAAAGAAGTGAGCCAAAAATTTTGAGGTGGCGGTGCAGGAAAAAAATTGTGTTCGACATGAAAAACGCTGCTGGACAAAGATCTTTAAAGATCTTTAAAGATCTCTCGAGATCTTTACGTTGCTCAAAATTTGGCTCTTCCCTGTATAGATCTTTGAAGATCTTTAAAGATGTCAGCGAAATTTCTCAACCAAAGGAAAAAAGCTGGGTTTTGTCCGTAGAGGACCCTCAAACAATCGACTCTCGCGAGAGTACAGAGATGATATATCAACAGCTGTCGGCGAGAGACTGAGTGATGCAATCAAAAGGGAAGCACCAGGCTGTGGGAATTTTTTGTGCATTTCCACGCGCGCAGTTGCCCGCTCGCTGCCTCCCGGCGCTGCCTGGCGCGGGGCTGTGCAGCCCGCCTTCCCCAAAATGGTTACTCGTCGTTGTTGCCCGGCAGGCAATGTCAGTTGTATGATACATTCCTCATGGTGCACATGGATTGCTTGCCGAATGCCAGGGCCTAAATGTCTCTGGAACGAATGTAATTGAGGTCGGAAAATAGGTAATTTGGATCGGCGTGCCGTGTTTGTCTGTGTTAGATTTGAATACTCTTAGCTCTTCCCTTCTGCGCTCCCACCACGGCCGCCCTTCTGCTGCACTTCTCGTCTATGCCGCAGATGGAGGCCCTCTATAGAACTTTGGCTCCCTCCTGCGGCTACTTTTAGCTGCCCGATGTGATTCTATCCTCCGCTACAGCGTCGCCGAATCCGGCCTACCCGCCGCTAGGCTTGTTTCCCGCCGCCCTTCAGCACCCGCTGGTGCTTCATGCAGCTGGGAGTCGTGTCTCGTGCTATGCATCCATTGATCCTCTGGGTTTGGACTCGATCTACCTGCTGTCTCCGCCGCTGCAGCCCGCCGTGCGCGCCCGTGCGCGCCACCCATTTTTCGCATTCCGCAGCCACCTTCGCCAGCTATCACCATTCAGCGCACCTTCTATACTCTTCTTCCCTCATTCACCGCCGGTTTTGTGTCCAACGTCGGTCTGACTGCCGTCCGCCAGCCCGCTTGCCGTCCGCTTTGCGCCGCTCATTCCCGACACCCTCCAGCTCCTTTAGCCGAGTGCTGCTTGTTTTCGCTCTTGGCAGCTATTGCGCCCAGAGTAACCGGCTGTCTATCTGCCCGTCAGTCCAATCCGCGTCCCATTTTGCGCCGCTCCCGCCATTTTGCGCTCGCTATTCTTGCCGCCCTCCGGCAGCTTCCGCACCCTGCGGGTATGGATCTGCGTCTCGCAGGGCATCATGCCCCGCCTTGCCTACCCCTCCTGGGCCCTTAAGTGCGCTCCCCGTCCCGCGGTATGATGCTGCTCCCGCAGCTTCCCGCCCGCCGTTCCCGCCGTGCTGCGCGCACAGCCTGTCGCGACTCACTCGGGCCTTCACAATGTCCTTCCCCGCCGCCCTCTGCCACTTTTCGGTCCCGTGGCCCGCTTCCCTTGTCCGTCGTTCCCGCCGCGGCATGCACAATTCCCCGATCCCCGACCTACTCTTCCCTCTTGGACATTCTATCATTGCCCCTCTGAACCACGCTCTGCCTAGCATTGGGCCGCCGCTTACGTCTTGGAGCGCGCACACTTCAATTTTCTTCTTGCACCGATCCCGCCCTGATCCCGCCTTGCTTTTGATACTGTCAAGCGCCGGCGGTGCAGGACAGTTTGGCGCATCAAGCGCTCCCTTGTGTGTTATCACTCTCCAGTCCCTTCCCCGTGCACCCGTGGTGTTTCGCGCCCCATTCTCGTTCTCATCCCTAATCCCGCTCCATCCCGCGCTTCCCTGTATCTCATAGCATTGTATCTGTTGTCTACCTCTGCCTACCTGTTTATAAACTGCACAATACACCGTTTTGAACAAATTACCACCAGGTCTACTGAGTACAGCGGCCTCGTTGTCGATCATGGTCGAATTATTCTACATCGGGGAATATATCTTCGAAGTATTCTATTTGAAGAACTCACAGGTACATGTCTAGGTCCTGCCCAGTTCCTGCTAAAACAAGGCAGCACTTTACATATTCCATTCTGTGGTGAGACTTTACCCGGAATCATTCGAAAGGTCGAGGTTTACGTCGAGACTTGGTCGGTTTTAGGTAGTAAGTGTTGAGTACCTATTCGGGACCATGTGCATCACTCTTGATTTGAGTCAATCTTTTATTCTGCCCACAAACCTGGTTCGTTTTACCTAGATTTTGGATATGTGGTGTATCTAACCTCTTTGTATCATCTCCCAATTTACACGATTTCTCTGGACACACGCCGTACTCGTACTGGGCATATTCCACTTTTTCAACCACCTCAGCGAGAGAATGCCGGAATTGCCAAACGTTCTAGATCTAAATAGCCAGAACTCATTGGCTCGCCTTACACTCCTCGGATACCCTTTGGAAGTCCACTCAAAAGTCATTGATTCCGTCGGAATATGGTAATTCTCATATTCTCATATTCTCGTCGAGCACCAAGTTTAGCTCGACGTTCAAACACAGAAGGAGATGACAGGATATTGCCTGCCTGGTCAGAAACCCAATCTATGGACGATAGCATACAAGCGATGCGGATTATGTTGGAATGTTGTACATCAAATTATTTTACTCCGGCCACGAACCGTCCTCGTTTGCCCCTAGTTTCTGATACAATGTTTCGTGTGTTAAGGGACACCTATTCCTTTTTTTTCAGCTTTATTTCGGTGTCTCCCAGCCCTGGATATGGTGAGCTGAATCGGGTTTTTTGGGTCTATGAACTTTCAAACGGGATGCGTGAATCTTTGTAGGAAGTTACGGGCTAAGATTGTATGAAATTCTGTTTACTCAAAACTGCATTTGACGAAGAGCCTACGTCGAAAGATCGAACCTGGTGTTTTCTCACATCAGACTTTTGACAATTAGCTTGTGACCTTGTACAAGGCCGAAAAAGGCCGAAAAAGGTCCGAAAAGGTCGACAAGCCACAAGTTCACAAAGCTATGTCTAAATCTCAACAAGGTCAATTTCTTTGAAAAAAACATATTTTTCAGGTGTTGATCTGGGCATGAAATGTGATTTCAGAGGGGGTGTTTTTCACTTTTGGCCTTGTGAACTTGTCACAAGCCCAAAAGGTCAAAAAAGGCGCAAGTTATATGTCAAATGGCTGATGCATGCGGATGGCGGTCCGGCCAAGCCGCAATGCCGAGCTGCCACGTCGTTCCTTGATTGATGATGTTTGACTGTCACTCTCCTCCCTCATCCTCCTCTCTTTTTTTTTGCCGCGTCCCGTCCCTTGCGCTATTTACCCACATCCACCCGATTCCGCATGCGGCTTCACGGCTTAGTCCCCTTGGAGCGCGGGAATCCTTCAAGGCGAGTGATTAGAGAAGGGTAAAGACGAGGATGCAATAGAGAAGGAATGAAAAGGTCCGTCAAATTTCCTTCCCTCCTTCACTCGGCTGCGGCGGCGGCATAAGCGCTGCCAGTGCTCGCCAGGCTGCTGTTGCCAACGCGCGATGTCGTCGACACTGACAGTGCCCGTCCGTGGTCGATCTGGATGGGTCTTGACGAACAAAACACCGCGGCTATGGCTCGGCTCGTATCAGTGTCACACCTGTGCGTGGCAAAGCCGGGCGGAACGAGGGCCTCTTGCCGCTTGCGGCAGATCGCTGGGATGCCCCAAGTGCGCAAGTACTGCTGAGCGTGCGCGCAGCACGGGAGGGAGATTGTGTGCGACCCAACGCGACACGCCCTCGATCGCACAGCCTTGGTACCCAACGTGCGTGTGTTGCTTCCAGGGCAATACTACCCCACTGTGTGCGCTTGCTTTGCCCCCAGTACTCGCACACAGCACTTCCGCTGCCGATTCCCACCGCGCGCCCAAGCCCGCGTTCCGCTCGTCAGAAGTAGGAAGCTATCTATCTGCCTGCTGAAGCTGGCGCTGCCGCCGGCGCGGAAGCGAGCGGCGGGTATTGGCATGGCACTTGGCACTTGTCTGCCGGTTCGAACTGGCTGTGGGCATCTGTGGTGAGCGTCAGTGTCTCCAGGGGGTGCACAGGGAGGGCGAGTGTGCTGAAGTAAAGAAAAGCCTGTAATATATTATCACTGTACCTTCTACCTGTAATTTGCACACATGCTTTTGGTGCACTAGATGGCTATGATACCTGAAGTTTCCAGCAAATTTGGCCCCCAAATGCGCCCGGCGGCGCGCGATGAATTACAGCGATCAAACCGGTCCATTGCCGTATTGGGCCTGCTAAGTCAGCGCGCCATCAGCCATGTGAGAATCATGCCGTACGCGCTGGACACCGTCGACGACGACGAGCTCGCATCCGCTGGCATTGCCGGTGAGCGTGTGAGCACAAGCGTCCAAAACGAGACGGTCTCTCGTGTGATATATCACACTGAACTCTCGCCGACAGCTGTTGATATATCACCCCAGTACTCTCGGGAGAGTATGTGATATATCACTACGCCAGGCAGTACACTTTTTCGATGCAAATATGGGGGAGCCGTCTGTTCGAATCGGACACGGGTCATGAACAACTAGAATTGTTACTAGTCTACCACGGCAAATTTGTAGTGCAAGCACTATGCCGTAGGCAGACTCCGGACGCACAAACGTTGGCTGCGCAAAGCCATCATCTCCCTTGTAAATTGCGCAGTCCGATGCGATAGGATTCGTCCCATCAATTTTCCTTCTTCTCCAGCACTTAAATCCTTCAACAACAACAAAATCTGCACACGATATGCGCATCTGTGCACGATCCCTGCATGCGCAATGTCCTCAACCCTCGGCCCTCACCCTGTGGTATCTCTCCGACGAGACTCCGCTTCTGTACGCCGCCGCGAACACGCTGCGGCAAACGGCCAGTTGGTGTTCCCCCAATTTGGGCCTACCACAACATCCGGTATGGTGTATCGGTAACATATGTGCTTTTCATCAGATTGATCGGTACGATTCGCACGTGCGCGGGGTTCGATTCCCCGTACCGGAATTTTTTTTGCTCTCCCTCAAGTTCTAAGTAGTCCACTAGTAGTCCAATCTTGAGCTTCCTTAAATACACCACACAGTCTCAATTCTCCACCATCCAACCACCATCCGTTCTTTTGAGATCTAAAGGCATCAGACCTTTCAATTCGTCCAAACTATCGAGTGATTGACATCGGGAAATAAGTGTAACTCCGAAATCGACGTTGATCAACGGCAAGAAACGCAATTCACTGGTGGCCGAGGTTTCGAAACACCAGAAGGCCAGCGGCTTGAAAAAAAACCGGCATTCATTCAAGAGGCACCTCGGCAGTAAGCTTTAGAGATTGGCGAGATTGACGATAGAATACATAGTAGCCGGAGCCCCGAGTAGAGGATATTCTCGGTCAGGCCCGCAGTATGGAGCGAATGTTGAAAGAGTAGATCGTCGGAGTGCCAGGAACAGGTTGGCGATCTGCGAGTAGTTGTATGCCATATTTGCAGTGTGCGCGACACAAATTCACCACGGACCCGGTAGCAGCAAGGAGTCGTCGAATACGTGCGCAGTGCGATGCCGGAATCCAAGAACGTGGCACTCACAGCCGTTAAAAAAGACGAGAGTTTTATTTTAATCGAAGAAGTGACAGGCACGAGTATGAGGCAGGCATGAGCAATGCGGAGAGCGAGAAGGATTGCTGCCCGCACGAAATCCATCCTAGCGCAACCGGCTCACACCGTATTCCGTGGGAGGCGATTGGAGAGGACAAAAGGCGACTGCGTGACTGTGAGACTGTGACTTGTCAATTGCCGCTGATTCGGCAAAACTTTCTCGAATTCGAGCACAGCCTCAGGGTCGCGCTTTGCACCCAACCACCATGGCGTTCCGCGGGGAGCTTGAATTTGTCTATGAGGATACCTTCCCACCCAAGGCAAAACGGCGCCGTGCATGCAACGTATGCAGACGCACCAAACGCAAGTGACGAATGGGCCCTCTCCATATAATGCATTTGCTGAATCGCTGTCGTATCGCATTTACAGGACGATGTGCGACCGACCACTGTCGCCTCTTATTGGTTTCACGGCTTCTGAATATCAAATGCAGGTGACGGCAACACCGTGTGTGGCCACTGTGAAAAAATCAATGCCACTTGCACATATATGGAACCCATAGAGCGTCGGGTATATTACCTCTCTTTTGTGCACCAATCAAAATCCTCATCCGTCGACTTCTAGCAGCGGCCTACTAAGCCGAAACGCGACAAGGAGCTACACGTCAACCCACAACATGTCAAGGATCTGAACCGACGCCTGAAAAGCGCTGAAGAATGTCTTCGACAACGCGAGGAGACGCAGAGGATACAAACCCCTTTTCAAGTGGATATAGCGATCAACAGACTCTCGAAGCCTTTCACTCGGTCTCATCCCGATGACTCTGCATTTCTGGACATCGCGGACAGTTTTCGTGCTCTGTCCATCGATGGTGTGGGTGCGGACCCAGGCTTCCAGGGCAGGTCGAGCGTTGCCATGCTGGTCAAAGTCGCCCTATCGGCCAAGTCTGCCCCACCCGAAATCAAGCATCCAGGGTCTTCCCCTCGACGCTCTGCATCCCCAAATCCAAGGCCCTGGACCCTCAAGTCGGTACCTCTTGTCTTCTTTCGCCGAGAAGCAAGGTTGTGATTCGTCCTCACTTAGTGGGAAACTCCCTCGGTGTCTCCCGCGCGCGCTCTACAGTTCCCAGATGGCTTTATGATGGAGACATTAGTATCCCTATATTTCTCCAACGTCAACTGTTTTCTGCCCCTTCTACAGCGTGGCATATTTCTGGACGGCATAAAGGAGCGTCTCCATCTACACCACTGCGGATTTGCATCGACGCTGCTGCTGGTGTGCGCGCTGGGCTCCCTGTACCTATCCGATGTTTCCGCGCAGGACCGCCACAAATTCGCGCGGAAGTGGTACGACCAGGTGGAATTGTGTGGCCATTCACTGCGGCAGCAACCAGCACTCTACGATCTGCAGTCTTACTGCGTCGGTGAGCTTCCTCCTGGTTGAACGACATTTACGATTATGCAACAGCTCGCTGCTCGATTCCTGCATTGCACCTCTAATCCACGCTTTGCCTGGGCGATTGTGGGTTTTGGCTTGCGGCTGGGGGAGGACATCGGCGCACATCGCAAGAGTGAGCCTCCAATTAGCATCGCAAAGGAGCTCGAGAAGCGGGCCATGTGGTATTTGCCGCCTAGTAACAGGAATCGAATCGAACGAACTTACAATTCCACCAGGGTCCTTCTCGTATTCGACAGCCAAATGGGCGCACTCCTGGGGCGCGGGCGACCGATTGACGAGCGCGAGTGTGTATACCGCTAACTTATTCTGAGCAATCTTGACATCGGTCTGTCTTAGCGTCGACATCTTGCTCCCGTGTGAGCTCGAGGATGAGCAAACAGAGGAGGGGGCGTTGGAGTTTTTCGTCAAGCTTATTACGCTCTACCGTCTTCTACAAATTACCCTCAGCACAGTCGTACGTCCACGCGATCTTGATTGCGCCTCAGTAGCTCATCCATCCACCCACTGTAGCACGCCACAACGTCACAGAAAATGGGGATGGGGCTGAAGGACCCCGACGTCAAGGCCGTCTCTGCTGAGCTGGCGATTGCGCTCGACGAGTGGGTTAACGGCCTCCCTCCACACCGTGCGTCTGTCATCCTGGCCCTTCTCAAAGCTCTTCTATTCGTCTGATGCGTTTTCAGTGATCTGGGATCCCGAAAATCAATCTGACTACGCCGCGATATTGTCTTGCGCGTACCACCACACGCGAACACTAATTCACCTCTCTGCTTTGACCACACCCATCCAATCACCGCTGGTATGTTCCATCTCTATATCCTCAAAACGGATACGCCCCCTCACACGAAATTATTTCTCGCGCAGGACATACAGTTACCCGCAGTGGCAACCTGCATCGACGCCGCTGAAGCATGCCTCCGCGTCGCAGACGCACAACGGCGCAGCCACCCAGGGCACCCGCTACTTTTTAGCCAGACCGCTGTGTGCACGGCGGGGTTCGTGCTCATGCTTATCGCCGACACTCGGTGCACTGCCAAAGACAACGCCACCGCGGAAGCTCTGGGCATGACACATATTTGCACGGCGATCGACGTTCTGCAGGCGCAGGAGCAGCGCTGGCCGTCTGCGGCATTCCACGCGTAACCATCGATCTTGTACAATGTTTCTAGGATGACTGACTGTTGGATTTGCAGGAACGTGCTGAAGCGGCTGTGGCTACCGGATGAGCTTCCGGAGAGAGACGTGAACGTGGATGGGGATGAAGCCGAAGAACCAGGGCTTGCAGGGGCAGGTGAGAACGAAATGATTACCCCCGACTTCGAGACCCAACGGATATCGGCGCCCATTCCATTTGAGGGCCGAGATGACGATACGTTCATCCCGCCAATTTTTGTGGGCGATGAAAGCATCGCTGTGGCAGGTAGAAGACCCATAAGTCTCAAAAATAAATCGTAGATAGCAAGTTAGCCCAGCCTAGGCTGCATCAATTTAGACCCGAATGCTATGGCGCATCAACGAATCAATGGCCAATTTTGGCCATCACGTTGTCATCAGAGGTGCAGACGCAAACGTTGAGGGTGCCCCGGCCAAAAAGGAGCCACCAGAAGGAATCAAGGTACATGAATGTTTCTGTTTTTTTGTCCCCAAACCACCCCAAACCTGATTCTTTTGTTCGCAGAAAAAAGCAGAGAACTTCTACTCTGGCGCCAATTTCTTCGCTCGATTCGCTGAGATTCACTGGATTGACCATCGTAAGTAGTGCTGTCCCATGCCATCGCCGATGTCGTTTTGGATTTGGCTCCTGTGCCGCTCGGTCCGCTTGCGCCGGAACACGGAACAAGTCGGTGGCAGTGCGGCAGGGCTGTGCTCACTGCTCTCCTCCTCCTTCCATTCGTACTGACGTACCCGCCACGATAAAATCCGCTGGTTCAACTGTCATTCCTTTCCTCGATGCACATCTAGGTCGGGGTGAACTCACTCATGAACTTTCTGTGGCTCGGACAAGCAGTACTGCCATTGGACCCGAATTGGACCGCCATTCACATCAAGCGGCGCCATCCTGATTCCTGAAGACTCCGTTCCCCGCCTCTCAGAGGCAGCAACCGGGACAATACTCGTTCAATCCCAATCCGATCTGTCCCCAATGCCGACATTCGGCGATGAAGACGGATAGCTTTTTCACTGATGCGCTGGTACCCAACACCGACTCACCCGCAAAACCGACGGGGACACCCACAAAAGCAAGCTGTGAAACATTTAGTGACTACAATTATTCAGTCTCTATGGGCGCTTTTCGGCCTCTGCGGGGCGGCATTTCAAACGCCGTGATGTGGCTCTCGCCATAAATGCGGCCGGCTCTGTACCAGTTCCCCATTCTTCTTCTCCCCTCCCACTTGGGCCCTTTACCTCTTTCCTCCCGCGACGAATCAAATGTCGTCGTATCTTTCACTTCTCTTACTTGGTTCTTTGACGCTCACGGGTGCGATCGCCACTCCCGTGCAGCGGTCGTCGCATTCGAGTTCGTCGTCCACGGTAGACGTGTAGGTGGTCGCCGCTCGTTCCACATCCATTGTCTCACAAATTCGGTCTCAGGTCGGTCTGCCTTTCGTTCAACGAGAACTACTCGGCGACTGCCGATGGTTATGGGCTCAAAGCGTCGGTCAGCGTCAGCGAGACCGTGGTCGAGTGTATCTATCTCGACGAGTCTTCGTGCTATTACAGCCACCATGTCCGTACCATCTCACTCGGGTGTAAGTATGCCCACTTATCTTCGCTTGTAGGACGGAAGCATGATGACCAGCCAGTATACGAGCGGGAAAGCCTGCCCGCATAGCATTAACCAGAGCGAGGTCACTGTGTCGGTAACCCAATTCTACAAAACTTCCCTCGTTCTGACGGAAGTATAAATCTAACAGATCCAAGTTGGTCTGTGAATCTGTCGATCTGAAGGCCCACCTTCTC